CTTTCGGAGCAATTAGTTGTCATCACACAATATCACACTCCACCATCTTTACATAATGCCCATCGATCTTTGTATTGTTACTTCAACTTTTGTTCAATCCAATCGTGGGCTTCAAGTGATAGGGATTTAATTTTCTCCCTACAATGCTTATATACCAGTGAGTCAGTTGCACAACCGGCTTGCCACAATAGATTTTGTAAATTGACCTCTCCATGTTTTTTTTTAAATTAGCTCTTATATGCCGCAAGCAATATCGGTGATGATGTGGTGCACTCCACCCCTCTTGCAAGGCTCGTGGAATTCCCTTCATTCGGTCAGAAATAATGATAATAACTCTTGGACTTTGAACAGTCAGAATGTATCTGTAAATACATTAAAAAAATCACTTCCAACTCGATGTATCCTCCACCTCCACAACTACAAAAGCTATAGGAAATAGCCCACCGTTTGCATCTACATCGGTCGTAACCAAGAGCACTCCTTTGTACTTGCCATATAAATGTGTACCATCGATACTCAAGAGCGGACGACAAAAAGAGAACCCTCTGATAGCGGGCCCAAATGCCCAAAATACCCGGATGAACCTCTCATATTCCGGCGCGACCTCCTTAGACACTTATCTCATATTCGGTATCCAGATTTTTCCTCTTAATTGCTGCAATATAATGCAGAAGTAATTGGTAAGATTCCTCCCAATCTCCAAAGATTTTAGTCAACGCCTTCCTCCGTGCATCATATGCTTTGTATTTGGATATTGTTATTCTTTTCATATCATATACCCTTGTAATTATCTGTCCTGGAGTAAGATCAAGTTCTTGTCTAACTTCGGGCATAATTAGCTTCATGATATAAGAGGAAGTTAAAGTCTTATGATCATAATTTGTAGTCGGATTGTAACATGTATGAAGTCCGCAATAACTAGAGATCATAAATTGGTCATTAGATTTTTTTCCTAACAGCTGCATAAGCTTCCATGGACACTTTGAATTTCTATCATCTGCAGCACTTGTATTCTCTCCTTGACCTTTCTCATTGGACACTTTGAATTTCTATCATCTGCAGCACTTGTATTCTCTCCTTGACCTTTCTCATTAAAGTAACACTTTACATGATAGCTAGTTGTGTTGCTTTTCACCGTCTTGAATTTGACCCAGTTTTTGATTGCTCATTCACGTATAGCAAAAATTAAGGTTTCCTTATTCTCGAAAAGTTCTTTTTTTAGAAAGTAAAGTCCTCGGGTCAATCAAATTTAGGACCAGGCTCAACAAACTCAGCTTGTGAGGTATTTATCCACTCATCATTTTGAAACTCTTCTGACAACGGCTCTTCAGACTCTACATAGTCGTTATTTACGCAATATTCATCCATCCAACGTACGTCATCATTGGTCTCTCCAATTGCACACTGCATACTATCAAGATGTTCCTCCTCTTCAGCATCTACATCCTCATCCTCATCCTCTTCTATTATAGAACCAACCGGTAAATCAACTAAAACATGACCCGGCGAGTTGTGGAACACGTCATTTGACATTGCACCTGAGTTATTTTTTAAGCGCAAGGCACTTTGAGATAACGAGATTTGATTTTCAAGCATGCAGGAGAACTCTTCACGAGCATATGAAACTTCAACAACCCCAGACATTGGAATATTTTCAGTGAATAACTCGATTGAGATTTGTTTCTCCGCAAGTTGTATCATGTCATTCAATTCTTCATCATTGGTGATCTCTACAACAATTGTTCTTTGATCATTTATTGGACAATTACAAAAGACCTTAATGGCATTTTCGACGAGATTAATTCCAGTAACTATATGTGCGCCATCATTCTATCAAAATTATAATTTCTAAATAACATGAACATTTTCATAGAGCCTCCATCGTATATAGACATATTATTCATTCCAACATTCAGTTTTTCATTGAATAAGCAAATAATCGGTATTCCATTCTCTATTTTAACTGAAGAATTAAAATTCATCATATAAAAATTAGAATTTTTTTCCATACATTTAATCATAATTACATAATTCTTCTAGATATACAATATTAACTAAAAAAATATAGAGAAATTTATGAAAAATATAAAATTTATACCTTGATGAAATTTCGGATCTCGTCAGCGTCGGAGAGAATAGATGGCGTCGGCGTCAGATTTGATGGAGGAAGAGGTGAGTTGGGTTTGGGAGAGAGATATCGGGATTGTTGGGTCGGGTTTGAGATAGGATGGAGGTCGGGTTTGGGACGTTGATCGGCTTGGGAGAGAGTGAGATAAGGTTTGGGAGAGAGGGAGATCCAGAGAATCGGGTTTGGGACGTTGATCGGCTTGGGAGAGAGTGAGATAAGGTTTGGGAGAGAGGGAGATCCAGAGAAAGAGCTCGGGAAAGAGAGAGGGGGAGAGAGTGAGATAAGGTTTGGGAGAGAGGGAGATCCAGAGAAAGAGCTCGGGAAAGAGAGAGGGGGAGAATGGGAGTAAGAGCTCGGGAGAGAGAGAGGGAGATCACGAGAGAAAGAGAGGGAAGCGGCTGTGCCCTAATTTGGGGCACAACTAGGGCTTATGTAGTCCACGATTCTACGGGACTACTAGTCCCGTAGAAATTACGGAGCCCACTTATTTAGACAGCAAATCCACGGGACTACTAGTCCCGTGGATTTGCTAGGCACATGCAAATATGTCTCTGCAAAATGTACGGGACTACTAGCCACGTACGTTTTGGTAATGAACTCAGAATATATACGGGACTAATAGTCCCGTATGTTTTCTGAGTCTACTAAGCGATGATTAAGTTGGCTCTAAACATACGGGACTACTAGTCCCGTATGTTTTCAGAGCCTTGTTTTTTAAAATCGACATCTTTTTGGCCTATTGGGGAAAAAGAGGTCTATTTTGCTAAACATTTAGCAAAGTGGTCTATTTTGCTAAATATTTAGCAAAAGTGGGCTATTTTAAAAAATTCCCCTATATTTCATTCTTAGTTTACCTGCCAATTGCGTAAGAGAGCAGTTAATCTAATATTTTGAGGTAACTCCCTCACTTATCCAACAATTTTCTGAGACGATAAAAAAGAAAATTATTAATATATATGTAAAGGAAACAGCAATTTTTATTTCTCATTTGGTAATACAAGAAGTCGGTCTCATCAACCGCAATGGCAGCTTTGCCTTCCATCTGTCTCTCAATTTGGTCCCAACATTGAACAAGCCACATGCAAATCCCTTGATCAGTCAATCACAACTCAAAGATTGGGCAGTACCAGCAAGTGCATGTTCGGAAAAGAGAATATAGCTGTGCATGTAGGGACCCCCCCCCCCCCCCCCCGCGCCCCCCAACCCCCCTACCAGGTTTCCATCTCTCATCAGAACAAAGAGAATATAGCAAAGATACAGTAGTCTGATTTCTGCTGGTATTTACTTGTTACAGTAATTATTGTTCATTGTTGTATTTAGTTAATATATATTATAGTAATGTTCTCCCCTTCTTTGGAGCTTCAAGGATATACAAGACCAGAATGTTAATTTGAAGTAGGTAATATTGTGCAGCTGGACACATGGGGACAAATGACAGCAATTCCCTAAAGTTTAAAACTTTTATGCTGCTTTACAAAAGATAAAGACTTTAAGGAAAGATTGTGGGTTACACAGGGATAGAAATAGGCAGAAAGAACATCACTGTTCACAACTTGCATAACATCTTTTTACTCATTCATGAGTACAGTCTCACTTTTTAAAGAACTATAAAGGTTATTAATAGAGTCATGTATAGGGAGTGTTAAACCCCTAAAAATACTAAATATTAATCTCCACGGAAAAGTCGACACATGTTTAATACTGTACCTAACCCGACTAATTCAAGACCAAGAGAACATCCGCCTCAACATGGCCGACTTGATTGGCCGACATCTTGCGTAACCGAGTCAAAAGGCGGTACTACTCGGCCAACCCCTCTATTGATTCCACAAACAACCCGACTCGGCCCACTGTTTGGCCGACATCTCGCATAACCGAGTCAAAAGGCGATACTTGTCGTCCAACCCGACTAGTCGTATCTGTGAATAACGCCCACTCAGCTTGTTATATCAACCGACAACTTGCATAGTCGGCCATCAGACGAATGACTGAGGAGGTGATAGTTTTCTCGAACCCTGCACCGACAGTCGTCTGCCATTGCATTAACTGCTCTGACAAAGTCATTATTGCTCTAGACCACAAAGTCTTTATGACTTACCAGGCTCCGTCAGCACCAAGCAATTGTTATAGCTTGTCATTAACCACCTGAATGGCTCATCTTCACCAGCGCCCAACACATGTCAGCGGTCTGCCGACTTAGCTGCCTAGCTGGACTCGGCCCAAGTTACCTTCTTGACGCTCAGATCCACTATAAAAAGAGCGGCACTGCATAATGTAACTCTCTCTGATCTTTTTACATAACTCAAAAGTAACTCTATATATCCCACTCAAGATCATTTACTGGCTTGATCGTCGGAGGAACCACCAAAGAACCGAACTCCGCCTTCTTACGAGTTCTTTCATGCGTAGGAAAGAACAGCAAGCCCCAGAATCATTCATCAGGAGGAGTTAGAGGATCTTAATCTCTTCATAAGCTCTCTGATAACCCCAAGTTAATTTGATAACTGACATCAACAGGGAGATAGCCATCTACTTTTATCTCTGTTTTCATAGCGCTTACACCTCGCGATATGCGAACCGAACTCTCATTATTTATACATGTAATATAGTGATGTATGCCCATATAAATGGAATACGGATATCCTTGCAACACTGAAAACACCAAAGTGCCTCTCTGCAATTTGACATCACGTACACCAACCTGAAGGATACGAACAACAAAGAAACAAATTTTTTCTTGCATGGAGCATGTAGAAAAAGATTTTGTCTGTCGACAATTAACCCAACATTGTAGAACATAAAAATGGCATTCAGATCGCCAGAGCAAACCAACGCTAGGGTGAATCTTGTATGAAACATACTCCCAACCAACTGGTGCAAATGGGAAATAAACTACAAAAAGTATTTTCAAATTATCTGGTACAACAGTAAAATTCACAAACTGGTGAACAATCAGAGTGGACACGATTTTGGACTGAGATGCTGTGATGCAACATGTTAATCAGAGAGACCTCTGATCAGAAATGTGTATAAGATATTGTACTATATACAGTGAACAATATGAAGGAAAAACTTCAATAGGGTTAATTGCGGACAGACAACGGTACTATTGCCAACAATCGTGGATAGGTACCTCCTACGGTTCTATTGTCGCAGATAGACCCCAGAGTGAATTTTCTGACTCTTTTACCCTCACTGGTCTATTTGTCAAGAAAATATTTCTCTCTGCGGGAAAGAAATAGTCCAAAAATTCACTTACATGGTCTGTCTGCAACAGGGGGTCCATCCGCAATTAGTCGATACTATAGGGGGGCTCTCGACAAGTAACCAACTTCCATGATCTGGCAACTTAACCAAATTTCATCTTTAACAGCTTCACAAAGCATTTATTAGTCGTCTCACCTCTCCTTGTCTCACCTCTCCTTGTCTCTCTGGTCCACGGCTTCTTTCCTATCTTTAATATTTGAAGGAGAAGACCCATTTCTGTTATGACTTGCAGCCATTTCACTTGCATCCACCGATACCTCTTCTTCGATAGGTAGTGTCCTTTTGGAGCCCTCAAGGGCAACATTTAGAACAATATTCTCTCCAAAGGCTGGCTTTGTCACCGAAGGAGAAGAAGCTGGTTTTTCACTCTCATTCTTGACTGTATGAGGAACAACAACCTCCACCTGTGTTTCTTCTATTAGAGGCTTTTCACTCCCTTTTGATTTTGATGCTGATGCTGAATTTTTCTTGGGTTTTTGTTTCTCAGAGCTGTTCTGCATTGTTCCATCAGTTGCTATGGTGCTTTTTGAGGCTTGTTCTTCACTTGATTGAGGTGAAGCTCGTGGTTTTGCTTTGTTATCGCCGTTGATTTTCTGAGTGGGTTCTATTAGAAGAAATGGCCGGTTGCTAGTTCGCCCACCAGGAGTGAATATGGTCTCGGAAAAGGGGATGTTGTCCATATTGGTATCATTGTACATTTTTTGCACAGTACGAATTGGGGTAGCAAGCCTAGCTCCATGATGGCTAATGACTCTGAGGAGATCCAGCAAAACTGCTTCCTGTTGTTTTTTAGTTTACATCCAAAAGCCAGCATATTTTGTTAGTACAGTGTTGACACGATAATCTATATAAAAAGTCACTAAAACAGAATATGGCAGATATGAATAGAAACGTATCACGTGAAAAAGTTTATGTGATGAAATGGTCTATGGGCTTCAGGTGACCAATTGGGAGGTTCACTCACCTTGACACCGAGATACTCCTCAAAACGTGCAGTCTTCACAAAACATGATATCAAAATCTGAAAAAGAAAAATGTATAATGATAAACACACTAACAATTAAATAATTAATTGCAACAGAAATATTTATCATTGACAATAAGAACTAAAGAGAATGGAAGAAGCAGTCAACAAAGATAAAAAAGAATAGTAGGAACTATTTAATTTTAAACATTCAAATAAAGTTAAAAAAATCACCAGTAGCAAACTCTATTTGATAATTAAAATTATCTATGCTTACTAACAATAATAACATATTAAATTTCAAGTAACCCAGAGACATGGTAAAAAGCATGTAAGAATACATGAATTTATTAATTCGTGGAGAATAACAATATGTGAGAAAACAAAAAAAGAGTACAAAAGACTGACTAGAATACATGATAGTTATATACAAGAAATAATAATCAACAAATAAGAAGGGTGGATTGCATAATATGCTTCAGTGCAATTAATTGGGAACCAATTGGCAAGAGCCAGGACTAGTGAAGGAACTGTAGTTCCTTCTTGCCCCTCATTTTGTTTCAACTTGACTATCATGAGAAGATATCCAATTGAACACCTCGACTATGAATTTAGGCAAACCATATATAATGGATCATAACAATTTCCCTTTCAAGACTCAGTTACACAGAATACACTCATAAATCCTATTAATGATTAAACTGAACAAGAACGTGATATCTAAGCAGGAAAATAAGTACATGACCAATAACTTATCAATGTTAGTTGAACTTAAGGATTGCAGGTAATACATGAAGACTGGACGTCAAAGCAGAGGAGTAAAGAGAGGTTCCAGGCAAACTTTGAAGTGTCAATACTTTAATATTCCCAACCATCTTTTAGCACAGATACTTTATTATGAAGCCGCATCTGTGCCGGACACATCGACGCCCATGTCGATAATTGATGCTTCCTTGGACACTCCACAGAATATGCGTCTATTCAAAAGTATTCTCAGTCATTTAATGTGCTTCAAACACTTGTTGCAGATTCCTCCAGACACATCTCACATACCCTTCTTCATGCACATTACATGTTTGTGATACTAGTTTACTTTCATTAATACACTAAAGTATGTACTCTAATGGAAAACCATTACAGAAACACTGACTTATAAAAATTATGATAACTGTAGATACGTCTAACCATTTTCTATAAAGTTAAAAGTTCTAAATGTTTTCTATAATGTTAAAGTGCTAGGTTTTATTCATTTTGCAAAGTCATAAAATGTCTGCCTGGTCAAGACTTTAGCACATTTGTAGGCATTATATATACTGTATTACCAAAAATACGTGTCTAATCTCTTGAATGCATGAAATGAGTATGCGTGCACAATGTTGTTGTAGTCGTCGTCGTTATTGTCCTTGGTTTAATTATTATTAGTTAACACTTCTGCATACCATACCTTGCTTTTTCAGGAATTACCGTGGCTCATGTTCATGTTCATGTCATACCCACATCAGGTGTTTGTATCCATGCTACTTACCAGTAAATTGTTCCAGAAAACGGAAAAAAAACTTTTCTTTTCATTATAAAAGGACAGCATGCATGTGCGGTGGTACATAGTCGCACGATGTTAATAGTGTCTCAATAATAGGGCTAGTTGTCTAAACCAGTTGAAGTAAACTATGTGACAATATTTAAATATCACCAATCAATTTGCATTTACCAGAAGAGCTTGATTTTCAGGATCAATGTTTTCCAGAAATACTCTCCTGTGAAGCCTCTGCTGTTCAATTTGAGGATTTTTTGCTAAAACTTTCCGCATATCTGCAACAATGTTCTGCCAAAAAGAAATGCAGATTCCAATTAGCATTAAATAAAAGTCAACAGGATCCAAAGCAAGTGAAATTTATCTGACATAAAGATTTTTTTTCCTCACATTAATTTTATTAACATCTAAGTGGCTGATGGCAAGATGTGTCTTAATACGCCAATGAGTCTTCTGGCTAAGATTTCTCACAACATTAGCAGTAAATTTGTGATTAGGGATATGAATTGCTTCACCATTTCCACCCCTTATAATCGTAGGAGACCACCAGCCAACATGCTGAGAAGGCAAATCAGAGGTTAAAATTGGAACATTGTGCAAACAACTTCAACAAAGATATAAAGAGATTCATCAGACAGATCATTTATATATATTTCAGAAAAGCCCCCTTGTAAACATTCAAGCTGGAATATAATTATGATGAAGATTCTATCGACAATATTTATTTAAAGAAAGAACAGCACAGGCAGACATCTGTAAACAACAGTTGGAAACCAACCTCAACTTTTCCAGAAACCTCACATCCCTCGATTTTAGCTTGAACCCAATCCCTTGGAACAAATGGGCGAGTGGCATGAATCATGATACTCGACAGAAAGTTTGTGAATATCTGCAAGAGAAGAGGATGATTACTTATTGTTGAATTTCAAATGACAGCATCATTGTCATCATAAAGTCTACTGATTAACACTATTTGGAGTTTCAGTGCTCACAATCAACATCATTGACCTTACAAATAAATATTAAATTCATTATGGAGACAAGTGTAACATCCCAAGATTTAGTCCCACAAGAGAAAGGAGTAGAGTTCTAGAGGCTTTACAAGCTAAGTCAAGTGCAACATTGACTAGTCAACTTTGGCGGTGGTTTGAGCCAAGCAATGAGTTTCACTCAATGTGTCCCATGGCTTACATGGCGCCAACGGGCTCGTCAGCCTGGGGTCTGACATCATGCCGTCATGGAACAAAGAATAAATATCAGCTGGGTATGAACCTTCTAAGGAGGTGACAGATTCTTGAACCAAAAAATCAGGGACAGGAGAGGGTCTTTCCATAAAGTCTTAGGAAGCATCAGGAGGAAAGGAAACCTACTTCATTGATTGTGCTATTTAAAGCTCAAAGCAAAGGAGCAAAAGCGCTTCAAATAATCCTACACACTGAGGAAGATGAAAATTTGCCAAAGGAAAATGTAACTATGTTCTGTTTAAACATATGAACAAGCTTGAGTTACCTCGCGACCAGCAAGGGTCAGCAGCACTGTCCCAAGGCCTCCAGCAGTAACCCATTTCTGAGTTGAAAAACCCAACAACTCCATGAACAAAGAAACTGCAGCAACCCAAACAGCAGAGTACACAGCTTTGCCAGCAAATTGGAAACCCATCTGCATAACAAGGGCGGTAAAACGTAAATCATTGCATGAAATTTCATTTGCACCGCTACCAATTGCCAACTAAAATAAGGAACTGACAATCAAGAACCAGGGACAATGTCGGGGTCCAGAGTTATCATGAGAAGAAATTTTCTATCAGTTAAGAAGATAAACCTTTAAAATATCTTAATATGATCATTGTGACCATTGACCAATTAAAGAAGGCAGATCCAATTATTTGGGTTGGCTATAACTCTCCATCATTAAGCTCCATTATGGTCCATTTCCTTCAGTAAATAAGTATCAGTCTCATCTTCTTTTAAGCCTTGTTGTTGAAACTAATTTTACATTCTTCTACCCTACCCTCCACATCCTAATGTTAGCAACATTCTCATTACTCCTATATCACTTTCATTCTCCTTTACCACCAATATTGAACCATGTCCTCATTTGTATCTTATTCTTAATCTTACTAACAATCCAGCTATACCACCAATATTTAACATGTCCTCATTTTTATCTTATTCTTAATCTTACGAAAAATCCATCTATATACAATCGTTATCCTACTAATTATAGATCCTCCAGACCACAGTTTCCTATCTTCTGAGTTGGCTCCTTCCTTAGCATCATCAAGTAAAACAAAATCGTCAATAAAATGACATAAACCAAGGACCTCAGCCTGAATATCCCACTGAGGCCTTGTATAACTAACATGAAGATGAAATAACAGATCAGAATGGTCCTTCAATCATTAGCTGGAAGTAGAGATATCTTGTATTAGCCAAAGCTTCTAACTTATATAGACAAGATGCTGTAACAGAGAAAATATTTTTCAATCAAATGCATACCAGTTTAGGTCGCTTTTACAGATGGCTCATTTAAGAAGTATTTACTGATAGTTAAAATAGCTAACAAAGCATAAAAACCTATAGGATATTATCTCTTTTTTGTCAATCTACCGCATACGGAAAACCATGAATCATCAGGGTGCATGATAAAAAATGAAGGAAAAAAAAAAGAATGGAAATTTTGGTTACATACAAAAATAACAACCACATACATTTCTACTGTCATTTGAGCTATACTTCTCCATGAAGAATTGTTGTAGTCTGGCTGAACGCAAGGCTGGGCACAAAAATAAGCAGTTGCTTGGTCAAGTACTCAAATATAAAAATGGCAAAATCATTGTAAAGAACAGACTTTGATAGAATTTGGCATTGATGAGAGGTCAAAGCAGAAATTTAGAAAATATTATGTAACTCTAGAATATTATTCTGAAACCAGACAAATATTCATGTAGGCAAAGGCATATCTCATCTTGCCGCTGATCATAAAAATTACAATTGGAAAGAAATACATTCCACATCTTGTTACCTACTGCCTTTGCAATAAATCAAGATATCTCTACTAATTTAGGATGGCTGCCTTAAAACATTATGCATTTGAGATATGGTGAGAACACTCCATCCAATAATATAATTTATCATTGGAACCAGAATAGAAGGAGGCAAGAAACATGTGAATTCCAAGACTGTTGGTGTTAAAAGACTGATTAAAGAAAGAAGCAATTGCCTTGTCAGATACACGTAAGTCCCACTAAAATGAGGTGACAAGTAAAAAGTTGAATATCTATTATGTATATATTAAAAGCCACTCTGTAATAACCACCAGAATTCACAGCGTGATGGAATAATAAAACAAGAACAAGCTGAAACAGCCAGCATGCACTAATCGTGGTGTGTTGTGCCCTATATTCAATTCCAAACTTCCCGGACCAGAGTAGAGCCCAAGAAAACAGATGACAGAAAAAAAACCAGAAAATTGGAGGAGGATTGCAGAAACTCTGAGATTAAATGGAAGCTTAAAGAACGACTTCGTTATTAGCTTAATAACAACACCATTTCAGGGTGTACAGGGAATATTTGCAGCCACTAGTTATTGTAACAAAAACAGATGCTAGGATCCATTTCTTAACAATCAGAAAACGGACTCAGAAGCTTGCCTGAGATAACGATGAGAAGTCCACTAGTTCCTCCAAATTTTCACAAATGTTCAGCATGAAGTGGCTGGCAGTTATCATCATGCAATGAAGTATGCCTAAATAGAGCAGTCGCCAAAGTCCAAGATAGACCCAGTATGGAGTATTGAATGTCATCAGAATCCAACAACATTACTCTGGGTACTTCACAAACAGAAAGGCAACTGAACTTATTGTTTTACTATGAAAAAGACACCGATATGCCAGTAACAGACAGGGTACCACAATTATCAAATAACAAACATATTTTAGAAATTTTGCAATAGGGCAACTAATATACAGTGGGATCAATAATTGAATGTATGCAGAAACTAATTTTCCAATGCCTCACTAATAATCTTGACTATAAGGTAAGATTACAAATGAAATAAGTCTTATGCAGGACCAACAAACGAAATACTGAAACTGATGATTGTAAGTACATAAAGGAAATCACCTCGTTAGACAATATGCGAAAGCCAGTACAGTTGACAATGATTGTACAAAGTTCAAAAGACGCTTCTTCACAGCTTGGCTAGCTGCTGAGGATAAACTTACAGGACCTAGTGCCCTGCAAAATAAGGAAGCTGATAATTATTTAATAATTCAAAACATGTTATTTATAAGAACTGCTTTATATAAGAAATGGTGGAAAAGAAGAACAGACCTGCAGAGTAGTATTGTTCCAGTCCAAAGCAGCAGTGGTTGAAGGTACGAGGTCAAAACATAGTGTGTTTTACTCTTCTTCCAGTTACTGTCACTTCTCTGTAGATAATTGGTAATATAGTATGCTCATCAGTGAAAGCTGACAAAGTGCTTAATTAATAGCATAAGCAGGAAGAGAAAGAAGAGCACAAAAACATACATGAAGAAACAGGGTTCTGCCATAATGCATAAGAGGCCCCAAGCCCCACACAGCAAAAGCAATGATACCGATTGCAGGGGCTAATTGCATCACAAGAGGACTTTCCGCCAGGGCAGTGTAAGATCGACTTAAAAGAGGACTTTCCTTCAGAACATTATAAGACCTATTCATGAGAAAACTTCCCTTCAGGATGTTATGAAGCCTGCTATAATGCATTAAATATGTGTCTTGTGTATGCATTTATTTGCTTCTCGCTATCATTATCAGAAGAGGAAAATGTATCATCCTTTGAATGTGGCTAAATGGTGCATACGTATGTTTGCATCTGATTATCCCCCCACTAACACATTCAAGAGGAAAATATTATGTAGTCAAGAAATTTTTTCGGTCATACTCAAATGCCATATTTGATCTATTATTAAATAGTTTATTCATTTCGAGACAAGCTGATAAAGTGATTTCTCTGACCACATGATTTTCATCCTAACATTTTCGGCATGAAGATCATGATGGACTGATGAAGTAATGAACAATGTTTATTATCCATTGGGATAGTACACTATGTGCTTTTGAACAGTCTCTATGTTGAAGGCTGCTCTATCATTTTGGCATATGATGTGTCAGAAAGCAAACACAATGAACTGGAAAATGATCATATAAAATGTCAAAAAGCAAACATAACAATTACATATCAACCAGACATGCTTCCTAGTTAAAACTATGTGAAACTTGAAATATGTTTCCCGTGCTCCTTATCACTTCCTCAATGGTTGCCAATAAGATGAAATCTTGGCTATTATCTCACCATTGCAAGCCCTTCAAAAATTGCTTAGCTCTTTGATAGTTGTCGACAACAATATAAGAAGATAAGAAGATAAGAAGATAAGAAGATAAGAAGATAACTTGCTGAATTCAGCCTCATACTGGTCCATAAACTAATTTGAAAGAATCAATTCAACAAACTCCTCCATCTTATGATCCTAAGCACAAATCAAGGGAGGAGCTTGTCATAAAGTAAACTTTCAAATTGCTCCAACTTAACTCCTCAACATCCTTTTCAAGGCATATTCTTTAGCCTCCCACCAGTTTTTTGCTTCTCCTTATCATTGATATCGCATAAACAACCTTCTCCTAAATGGTTAAGGATCTTGAATCTTTTCCCAACATCTTCATCAAGATTCTACAACTTTAGGATATTTCACTATAAAAAGGTCGAGTCATCTTCTTGTACATCTTATAATGACATCCATCAATTCCTACATCCTGCTCCCACAGCTAAGATCCTTGATGATCTTAAAACCTTTCTGTCCTATTCCTTGTTGTTGTACACCACTGTTACTTAAACCTTCCAAACTTTTTGCCAAAAAAAGCATATGAAATTACTTAGTAAACCGCATATCTTGAGCCTCTAACTGGACCTTAGGAGGTTACTGAATGTTAAGGCACGTGAAGCATGGGGTGAAGCTTCTTTGGAAACCTTATAAATACGACATATCTACTAGAATACCATCAAGGGTTGAATTTTCTTAAAGAAGCGTTCTCCACGTCTTTCTTTTCTCTCAAAAGTATATTGCCATTTTATTGCTATTCAGTTTATTACTTATGTTACATATGGCATTATGCTTTGTTGCATGTCTTTTCATGTTGGAACTTTTATTCCTACACAGGAAAACGTACTGTAAATACTCATATAAAGAGTAATTAGCAATATGCATGGAAATCAATCTACACATACTTCTACTTGAACAAAGATAAAAGACAAGTACCTAGACAGTGCCAAGGTGGTATTCTTAAGAAGAGGTATCCCATCTGAAAAGCTTGGCATACCAAAACAATAACATTGGAAACGGTTGTATCTACATGGGGCATAATTCAGTGTTCTGTATATCCTATCTGTTGCATTGGGACTCCGTAAATCTTGTCGCTGCAGATAAGATAAATCTAAATTAATTTACATATATAAAATGAATGCCAGAAACACACTTGTGAGGGGGAAAGAACATATAAACATTATAAGCATTTCACAGCTTTTTACAGTGAGCCAACCGAACAAAATCTACATGATTGAATTACACTTTAATAGATAAAATAACTAACTCATCCTTACGTATTGGTGAAAACTCAAGTATTCTCCCAAAGTACCAATTTACCTGTTTTGCCCCTCAAACTATGCTTGCGGTTTTAACATGGTCATTTTGTGAGCCTGCAGTAAAATATTTAACAGACAATGGCATAACACTGTTTTCTTGCATTTTGTCGTGTGTTTTTATCACTTTGTCTACTTTTCCTTAAAAAAAATCTTAACTACTTTCTACCCTTTCACCCTATTTTACGAATTGAAAAATCATTTTTCTAAATTGCAAAAAAAATACAATAAATTAAAACACACTATCACGTAATTAATCTTTAAAGAAATGAATTTACATCGGGCACGTACACATAGTTTAAGCGGGAAATACGCAAATTGATACTTTAGAGGAGAACTTGAGAGTTCACCAATACTTTAAGGGGGAGTTTTGATCATTTTGTCCCACTCTAATTTCAAGGAGGTATCATATGAAAACAAACTATTCTCGCTCGATGCAAGTTTACATAATTCAAGCAGGTCCTGTAGGTCCGTAGGATATCTAGCTTCAAAAAAAGACAGAATTAACTGAATGCCACAATCATGCTTAATTCCACAGTTAATGACTTCGAATAACAAAATCTAACAGCATTTAGCTCGATCATTGCAGCCAAAGAATACCGAAGCACGTGAAGATGACAACGAAATACTCTGCGAACGCAAATGGCGCCAGCTCCTCAGCTCCGAGCTCTACAACATCGTTACAAAAAGAAAAAAAAAAGGAAAATCAATTGACATAATCAATAAGCGACTCAATCGATGATCAAATTGAAGAATTCTTCTGATACCTCGGGTTGATCAGTTATACCGCTGTGTTTCCTCCGAACACTAAATTTATTAAGCTGCAGCTGCGAAGAAACTCCGACCGCCATCGCTGAGCTCGAGGGAGCCAAGATCGACGACGATCGGCCAAAGTTTCGAATTGAATCTTCTTAGGGTTAGGGTCGGTTTTTTTTTTTTTTTTTTTTGAATTGAATCTTCTTAGGGTTAGGGTCGGTTTTTTTTTTTTTTTTTGCGCCCTTTCTTTTTCTTTTCTTCTCTTTTTTAATTTTTAATTTTATAATAATTTAAGACGATGAAAATTAGGGCGATGGGAGAAAGAGGGAATGAGGAAAACTCAAGAACGGAACACGCATTCGCAGTTGGAACGTGTTGGGGTGTGATTGGCAAATATTTTTTGGGGCGTCTGTTTCCTAAATTTTATATAGGAATCCATGAAAGGGAAAAATTGCAAAATAGACCGTTTTTGCTAATTATTTAGCAAAATAGACCGTTTTGCTAAATAATTAGCAAAATAGACCTCTTTTTGGCCAACAGATCAAAAAGAGGTCTATTTTGCAAAACAGCTCAGAAAATATACGGGACTAGTAGTCTCGTATGTTTTAATCACAGATTAGTAAAATTTTCTACTCAGAAAACATACGGGACTACTAGTCCCGTATGTCGTATGTTTTAATCACAGATTAGTAAAATTTTCTACTCAGAAAACATACGGGACTACTAGTCCCGTATGTTTTCTGAGTCACTAATCCGTGATTAGTTGGCTCTAAACATACGGGACTAGTAGTCTCGTATGTTTTCTGAGCATTGTTTTTCAAAATCGACCTTTTTTTTTAAAAGATGTCTGTTTTGCTAATTATTTTTCAAAGTGGTCTATTTCGATATATATTTCATAAAAATTGTCTATTTTACAAATTTTCCCATCCATGAAAATAAACGCCCTTGGGAAAATTTCACAAACCACCCTGAACTTAACTGTGTTCCCATGCAACCCTAACATTTTTTTCCCCACTGGGCCCCTGAACTTCGGGTCTCTCGCAAAAGAATATAAACTTTTAGTTTTTTTTAATAGATCGTTCCTATAAATCGCTAATTTTCACCCGTATCTAATTCTTCAATTTAATTGTATATATGTGTTTGCTTAGGATTAGGAGTAGGTGAAGAGGAGATGAAGAGTATATTTACGAATTAGATAATGTATGACGCTTTTTTTAAAATAAAATATTAAAATGGTATAGGTAAAATATTGTTTGCTTCGAGGGTATTTTGGTTAGTTTTAATCACGCGTTTTTGCATCCCATGTTTGAGATGGCTTTATTTATTTAGGGCTTTAGAGGCGAATTTTAAGGGGGGTCAATGGAATGCCTCAAAGCTTTGGGTACCTAAACGGTTAGTAATCAGTTCAGTGCTGCGTATTGGGGTGGAGAAGCTTGGTCTTATTAGGGCTTGGTACAAAGGTAAAATGGATTAAATTATATCCCGGTAAGATTAAATTGTATCATGGTAAACTTTTCTAAAACTTTAGCTATATTTGTTATCATGTTAAATTTTGTCATTGTTAAAGTTTAATTATATATGATGATAAACTCTTAACCAATGAAAGGTTACGCTAAAAATGAGAGAGAGTTTAGGGTTAGTTCATTTAACAATATGCAATTATAAATAACTCTTGAAAAACTTCAAAACTTATCAAAAAGCCCCTAAATAAAAAAATATTATTATAAAAAAGGAAATTACATACAACCCCCCAATTTCGAAACTATAAAAAATCCTCAAACTTTTCAAAAATTGTAAAAACACAGTAAAAATTTAAAACATAGAGATAACGTTGACAATTTCAAACCTTATAAGAAGCATCCATAAATTATTTTATTTATAAAAAACACCTTAAAATTTTTAAAATTATAAAAATTACCTCAACAATCAAATTTAAAAAAACTGAGCATTTCAAATCAAAAACATATCAATGAAAATCAGGGAAATACAAAAAAACCCCGAAAGTTTTGAAATTTGTAAAAAATACCCAAAACTTTAAAACTTTTTAAAAACACCATAAAAATTCTAAATTTGAAAAAAAAGTTAAATTTCAAACATAAAACAGTAAACTGAGCAATCTTAGAATTGCAAATTTTAATTTTGTTAAAAAGCACCCTAAAACTTTTAGATTTTGGCAAAAAACACGCTCATAATTTTAGAACTTACAGATAAAGCTTGAAAATTTCAAACCAAAAACAGAACATTAAAAATATATGAATTACAAACAGCCCCATGAAAATTTTAGACTTTATAGAAAACACCCTAAACTTTCAAAGTAGTAATAAACACCCTCAAAATTTTAAAATTTATAACAAACTGTGTGAATATTTCAAATTTACAAATAGTACACTAAAAATCTTAAAATTATAACTGTCCCCTAAAAGTTTTTAGGATTTGCTTAAAACACCCTAAAAATTTTAAAACTTACAAAAAGTGCCCTCAAAAATTTAGAATTTGCAAAAAGAGCCTGAAAACATCAAACCAAAAACAGCACACTGAAAATTCTAAGAAGTACAAATAGTCCCCTAAAAATTTTAATTTATAGAAAACACCCTGAAACTTTTTAAAGTTGCAAAAACCCAAAAAAAGCAAAATTTTCTACAAACTCCCTGAAAATCTTTAAACTTGCAAATAGTAAATTAAAAATCTAGGATTATAAGTAGCCCCTTGAAAATTTTGGAATTTACAAAAAACACGTAAAACTTTTAAAATTTTTGAAAAACACCTTAAAAACTGTAACATTTATAAGAAACACCTTAAAAAGATAAAAATTACAGGGGCCTTTTTTATAAATTTTATTTTTGAGGCTGCTTTTAGCAAGTTTGCACTTGTAGTTTTTAGTTTTTCAGTAAACCAGTTGTAGGTTTAAAGTCCTAACAATATTTTTTGTAAATTTCATATTTAGAAGGTGTTTTTTGTAACTTTTAAAAGTTTTAAGGTGTTTTTACAAATTCTAAAAGTTTCAAGGGGCTATTTGTAATCCTTGATTTTCAGTTTACCATATGTAGTTTTGAAATTTGCTAGTTTTCTGTAAGTTTTGAATTTTTATGGTGTTTTTTGTAATTTTTAAAAGTTTTAAGATTTTTTTGCAAATTTTAAGATATTCAGGGAGCTGTTTGTAGTTCTTAGATTTTTTTTGCACTCTGTTCAGTTTGAAATTTGTAGGCTTTTATCATAAATTTTTAATTTTTAGATTAGATATTTGTTTGCAATTTTTGAAAATTTTAGGGTGTTTTCTACAAATCTCAACATTTTTAGGGGGATGTGTGTAAGGTTTGAAATTTTAGTGTTATTTGTATGTTATGAATTTTGAGGGTGTTTTTATAAAATTTTCAATATCTTGGGTTGAGAACGGAAGCCATATGTCTGAAATTAAATTTTATCCTCGCTAAAATGTTATAACAAACATAAAGACATTTCCCCCGCTAATTTCTCTAATAAATTAATAATTACTATTATGTTAAAGTTTAACCCCGCGCCCTAACTGAATTCGGGTCGGATCTACTCTGTCGACCTCCTCCCAAACCCACCCGAATCCCTACAAAACACGATCACAGAGGAGCAAGCCTTCACCTTCCTCATTCTCCTCTTCAATGGCTTCTTCAGCGGTTCCGATGGACGACAGCAACTTCGAAGACGACCAGCTCGCCAGCATGACCACCGACGATATCTCCAGAGCATCTCGTCTCCTCGACAACGAGCTCCGCATCCTCAAGGTACCCAAAACCCTAACCCTAACCCTAATCGACCCCTACAACACTAAACCCTAGGGTTTCATTACAGCTGATCGCTTTTCTTTCCGCAGGACGAGTTGCAGAGGAACAACCTTGAGGTGGAATCGTTGAAGGAGAAGATCAAGGAGAATCAGGAGAAGATTAAGCTCAACAAGCAGCTGCCTTACCTCGTCGGCAATATCGTGGAGGTTCGTTTTGATTGTAGTTGTTGATCAAATAAGTAGCTTGCCTTATATTTTGTTGAGTTACCGTGCATCATCAAACATAAATCATACCTTACCTTGTTGGAAGAACAAGGGAAGAAATATTTAAGTTGAATAAGGAGTTGCCTTACCTCCTTGAGGTCTGAGTTTTGCATTTTTGTTGTTAATTGTTGAGTTGTTTGTTTGTGCGTTTTTCTTCGGCCTCAGGTTTCCATATTTGATTATAAATCTTGCTCTTATTGCTATGAAAATGGGAAATGTAGGTTTTTTTTCTTTTTCAAATTAGTTGCAATTTATTTGATGTACTGGTAGAACAATGCATCTAGAATTGCAATTATGTAGAAGTTTAATCAGATGAACCCATGGAATGCACTTTCTTCTAATGAGTTAGGATGCTTTTTTTTTGGTGACGACGGAACCTTGGTCAGAGCACTCAGTTACTCCACCAGCGGCCATAGATGGAGTCCTTCCAACTTCGATTCATGAAGGGGTTTTCACCTTAATTCCAGGGGGCCATCCCCTTGTGACAGGGCGAAGGAAGAGGACTGGAAGACAACTCGACCTGGTTATCTGCACGGTCTGAGTGAACTGACCAAATAAAATCCCGGTTCCTGCCCACCAGCAGAGCACCGACAGGAACCGGTGAATGCGTGTGAGAGGATTCGAACTCAGGTGCTTAGTGGTCTCACGCCCCAAAGCCTTTGGCACCTGTCTAGCCGAGCCCACCCTCCGGTGGTATGAGTTAGCATACTTAATCAAACATGAAGTGCTCGTATCCATGCACAGAAATATTAATGCAAACATAATAACTTGAACAATAAAAATTTCTACATTAGCTTCTTGGCCTCTAGGGCTTAAATAGTTTAAAAAGAAGGTTAAGGATAATTAGGAGAAGGTTAAGCTAAAGACGTAGGTGTCTTGTCTCATTGGGAATATTGTTTAGGTCTAGTTTTATGACTTTGTTTTTTTTTGTTAATTGTGGATTAACTTGTTTGATTTGGTATATTTTCTATAGTCTTTTTTGTTGTTCCCCTTTTATTTGATATAAAAAAAATCTTGTTCTTAATCTAGAAGTTAAACTACAGAATCATTCAGAAATTACAGCAACGTAGTAAATTAGGTGTCACAGAAATGAATACACATTCTTTAAGGCTTGGTTTGGTAGGGGGTTTGAGGAGGGGTGGTGAGGTGAGATGCAATAAAGTGAAGGGAT